GTAGCTGGCTGTGACCAGCAGTGACCACAACCTTGCCCCTTGTCAGCTCTACTATACACCTAGGAATTCTGATCATTCACATAAACTTATAGGACCATTGTCTGCCAACCCTGTATATGTTCTTGGATATACTCCCCTTTTCATAGACATACCTAATCGTTCAGCCTGTCCACCCATCTATCCACCCATATACCCATTTTTGCCTTCACTGACAATGCAGTACTGTATGTTAACACAATTCTTAAGCTTGAAATGTCCTAAAGATTTTTTTTCTGCTTGTTGCTTTAGTTGTACCACTGCGAGTGGAGGCTTTGGGCTACGCAGATTGAGACTACAGTCCTGCTCACTTGCTATGGGGCCCTTAATTCCTTGTTGTTGTTGTTGCTATGTGCTGTTGAGTTGGACCTGACTCATAGCGACCCCTCCTTGGGTTTCTGAGGCAGTATCACTACAGAAGTAGATTGCCCAACCTTCCTTTAATTCCTTAGCCTGTTTAAATGTTTCCTCATTCAAAAATGAGAATTGTTTTTACTCATTATGATACTGTGAGGATTAAGATGGTGTTTAAAGCTGCCTAGTGCAGTGCCTTACATGGAGTTGTTGTTATGTGCCGTTGAGTTGGACCCAACTCATAGCAACCCCTCCTTGGATTTCTGAGGCAGTATCACTGTGGAAGTAGATTGTCCATCCTTCCTTCTGAGGAGTGGCTGGTGGGTTTGAACCTTCAGTCTTCTGGTTAGCAGTCAAGTGCCTTAGGCACTACACTACCAGAGCTCCTATGGGGTAAGCACACAATAAATGCTAGGGCCACCCCTTCCCTTGTTGTAGCATATTCTTGCTTTTCCCTCTTCTCTAATTCTCTTTCTGCATCAGACACATCCTAGTTTTGCTAACCTGTTATGCTATTGGTCTCAGGGACTGGATGGGAGTGTATTAAATTCCCTCTGTTTCCTTTTTAGCTACCTTGTAGTAAACTAATAATAAATTACAGGGAAAGGAAAATAAGTGATTCTTTTGTTTATAGTGTTAACTTGGTGAAATAATTCACCTCAGTCTCAGCCAAGAATACTAAATCCCTTTCTCTATCTTCTAGTAAATAGATAAAATATCAGCTAAAGCATTGGGAAGAGGCACAAATAAAATGGTATTTTATCTATTGAATTAAAAAAAAAAAATTAATTTAAAGCTGTTGAGGTAAACAACTTATGTTTTACTGTTATTGTTGTGAAATATGCTGCTGTTGGTTGTATGTGAGGTCTTTTTCCACTATAATTTGGGTCAGTGGCCCTTGATAAAAAAGATCTTAGCTAATCTTTTTGCAGTAGTAGTAAAGCCTTGTCTGAAGATATTTTAGTCACTGCACATTCAACGGGAGTTCCTAAATGAAACCTCATTCTTGCTTTTTTTTTTTTTCCTCTTTAAATTTTATTTATTTTGTTGTTCAGAATATATATAGCAAAACATACACCAGTTGAACAGTTTCTACATGTATAATTTTAGGGACATTGCTTACGTTCTTCAAGTTGTGCAGCCATTCTCATCCTCCTTTTCTGAGTAATTCCTCCATTGTTAACATAAACTTACTGTCTCCTAAGGTTCCCATCTAGTCTTTTGAGCTGCTGCTGTCAACCTTATCCCATATTGATAGTTTTCTAAAGAGCACAGTGCTCAAGGCCGACCTTTTTCACCATCCAAGCCAAACTATTACTCAGTTCCAAGAAGACTTAAGGGAATATTTTTGATTTAAGCTTTAAAGATTACCCAGGGCAGTAGTTTTAGGGGTTCATCCACCTTCATGGTTCCACAAAGTCAGAAATCCATGAGAGTTTGAATTTCTATTTTGCATTTTCCCCTTTTTAATCAGTATTCTTCTGTGGAATCTTTGATCAAAATGCTCAGCAATGGCAGCCAGGCACCATCTAGCTCTTCTAGTCTCATGTCGAAGGAGGCAATTGCTCATGCAGGCAGCAAGCCACACACTTACTATCCTCCCCATTTCTGCCTCTCCTTCCTCTGTTGTTGCAGGTGAATGGAGACCAATTGTGCCTTGGATGGCCACTTGCAAGCTTTTAAGACCTCAGGCACTACTCAGCAAACTAGGAGGTAGAACAGAAGCACTATACACATTATTAGGCCACTAACTGGGATGTCTCATGAAATTATGACCCAGAACCTCTAAACCAAGAAGCCAAATCCCATGAGATGTTTAGTTGTACATAAGCAGCCTCACCCACTGTTTTTTTTCTTTTTATTTGGTCATAAATACATCATACAACTTTAGCCAAGCCCTGTTTTTAAAGGTACACAAAATAATTGGCTGTGCAACCCTAACCTTAATACAATTTTTTCATCACAATTAACCCTTTTTTTCTCCCTCTCTCCTGCTCCTAGTAACCACTAATATACTTTGGTCTGTATAGACATTTGCCTTTTGTCTTTTTATGGGAGCTCTGATAGTGTAGTGCCTAAGGCATTTGACTGCTAACCAGAAGGCTGGAGGTTCAAACCCACCAGCCACTCATTGGAAGGAAAATTGGGCCAGCTACTTCATTAGTGATACCGCCTCAGAAACCCAAGGAGGGGTTGCTATGAGTCGAATTTGATTTGATGGCAGTAAGTTTTGAGTTTGTATTTTTATGTAAGTGAGGTCATGTAATATTTGTCCTTTAGGGATTGACTTAGTTTGATCAGCATAATGGCTTCAAGTTCCATCCATACGGTAGCATCTGTCAAGACTTATCTCTCCTACTGGCTGAATAGTATTCCATTGTATATGTGTACCATATTTTTGTTTATCCATTCATCTGTTGATGGGCATTTAGATTGTTTCC